GCCATGCTAATTCAAGAAATTACCACCCTCCTACAACTAATTTTGTCATGGAAATCAAAAAGAAAAACAAGAACGGAAGGGAATTAGAAGCATCTTGTTGCCGCTTTATAGGAGAAACTCCAGAGGTGAGACTCAAACTCGGGCTGGTCACATCCCATCGGTGTTATCTACCAGTTGGCCCCGGCTCAGTACTCAATTGTCATGGAAATCATTCGCAATTGCCACCCCACCAGCAGAAGTTCGCCAGCCAAGAGGGTCTAAATTTTTTGACATATACTGTACATTATAACATTTATTACTTTATTTAATTTGACCCTAAATATGAAAGGGGTCTAGTAAACCCAGATGGAGGGAGTCAAAGCAAGCGTCTCCCAGTAAGACCAACGCACCTAAAGCAACAACTGTTCGGGCCAACGAAGCAGCAGCTCGGGAATAGCAATCACATCAACTAGCAGCCTAGCAGACATAAGCCAAGATTGGCACATAGTATTCCTGCCTAGTTGCTCTTCTTCGTTTAATAATAAATACTGACTACTGTAATGTTCGCCGACATGCCAGACTCCCAAACGAACTACCAGATGACACACGAAGCACAGCATATAAAGAACCTCAGCACCCCCATCTTAGAGAAGATCCTATAGTAGCAGCGCTACATGCCATACTCCACTCAGTCTCAGAAGCATTCTTCGATAACCCTTCGCTCAACAAACATAGACTCAAGGTGTACTAACACATATGGACAGAATCACTACTGCTTGTAGGCTTCTGAAAAATTTCCATCACGACTAGCTTCACTTATGCCCTCGGAAGTACATGTATACTTTCTGTGACCACCAAAGAACAAAGAACAGAAAATGATATTAGTATTGTATTCTACTCCCTCCGTCCCTAATTAGTTGTCTTAGATTTGTCTAGATACAGATGTATCTAGATATCCGTATCTAGACAAATCTAAGACAACTAATTTGGGAGGGGGGTAATAGAATAATGCATCTGAACAAGGGCCATGATAACACAGACCAAACACAAATAAAGTGGTGCTCACAATCAAATTGCTTCTTATGCAATAGATGCATCAATTAGCATCACTTATGGGTTATGACCTATGGATTAAAATATCGGTGTTTCATTTGTTTGCATGCCCATCCAGAATGATGCCCAAACAAAAAGTAGGAACTCACGGGAGCCAGCCCCCCTGACGTTTTCACTGGACGCCCACCTAGGGGTCTGTGTGTCCAGATGTATTTGTCCTAGTGCGTTCCCATGCTACAACAAATGCTAAGTTCTACAACATCTTTACCAGACAGCCACCTAGGGGCTAACACATAATTTGATTTGCAAGTTGTACAACAAATTTTACAAGTATAATAATTTTCCTTTTCGCAAAAAAGAAGGTATAATAATTTTCCGTGCAAAATTTATGCCGATTATTTCTCAACTATGCAGAGGCACCACTATAAGCATACTTGTGTCTTGGTGAAGTTTACTGGGTTTAAAACAAAAGGTGGTAAATAGTTACGCAACATATTAAAGAAAAAAAAAACTGCATTCAGTTGCTGTGAACTAAATACATATAATAATCCATAAAAAGGTGAAATATAAGGAACACCTACTAGTCCCTGCATTCCGTGCCCTAGATATGACCAGTATGTGAACATATGAAGAAAATACATAAGAACAGGCAAAAAGGCAAACCAACAGAAGGCCAGGGCAAGTTAATTAAGAAATTGTCTCTGACCTGAAGAACCCCGATGCTCAGCAGTGTCTCCAAGCAAAATAGTGCAAACCCCACGAAGTAAAAGATCTACAGGAGTAAATAATTGATAGTTAATGCCCTACAAGTTGATACTTGGAGAAATCTGCTTCAAAGTGCTTGACATATTCAAGAGATTGCAGACAAAACAGTCCCAAACAAGTTGGGGTAGGCAACAGGGAACAACATTCTCACCCCAATTATCACATGCTCAGAGAAAGTGTCGATCGCAGCCAATATGCCCCTGGAGAGAAAAGGAGACAGCTTAGCATTATAATTAAGAAGAATGTTCCGTACATCCAATAGTGAGTACCTATGATGAAGGGGTGGGTCTTAAGCTAAAAAAATAACAGGCGTCCACTCAATAGTCAATGGTACTCAATTTCAGTCGGTTACATACACCCGGGTTGATAAAATTTAGAATGATATATATTCATCATATACTTGAGATATTCAACTGTCAGTCGGTCAGTCCAGAACACTGGCACTAGATCATGCTAGAAGATCATACGCAAACAATTTATTACAGATCTTGTAGGAACATAGTGAAACAAGCAATTCAGCTGTGTCAATACTATGGAAGCCACAAAATAGTGAAACCACATATACCACAATTATTTATACAAATTTGACTTTTGTTAACTGTTAACGTCCTGTTCGTTTCAATAAAACTGCTCTCAGTGACCAGTTGTTCTGAATAGTAACACTGGTGCAATGGAACAATGGAATTTTACAACGGTAGTTACGATGTTGACTGAATAAAAGTAGTGGTAGCTTACGTTAATGATTTCCCTTGGAATACGATTGGCGGAGCAATGGCAGCAATTATGCAAAAACCAATGTGGATCTGCACCAAACAACAACAAGACAAAAAAATGTGGTCATGTGATAAGTAATAAATTATTACAGAAGTTAAAATGTCAAAAGTTAAAAAAGCTTTGCAGGCAAATCTTACCAGGTAACACAGGAAAAACCATCCAAAACTGAATGCACTGTTAGTTCTGTTCAAAGAAGTAAGATAACATATCAGATGCTTCCACACATCACAATGCACAGTTCAGTTTTTCTCTTAAATTGTTAAGCATTTGGACTGAAATTGCAGTCACTTTTAAAATCTATCAAACTATAATAGAAGGACTATACCCATCAATTGACCACTGATACATGAAATGGAAACAATTAGTAGTAGCTACTGCAGGTCCACCAGAATATTTTTGCAACCTCCATAGCTATCGCATGCATCATGAATGGTGTAGATAAGAAAGTATTCATGCAAAATATGCAGATGTTCTGAACTCACAGAAACTGCTCTTTAATAGTTTCGGTAGATGGAAACAATGACTAGTAAATATTGCAGGTCTGCATAGAGCTTTTAAGCAAAAGAAATACAGTCTTTCTGAAATGCATAGGTGGAAAGCACTAAAATAAATAATAAATTCACTCGCAATGTCCTTTTCCATTGATAAGTGGAAGTGTTAAAATGGTACTATGATAGCATACCTCATTGCACGATAGAGGGGTCTATACCACATCAAGTAAGAAAGGGGAATTCCAAGCAAAGCATAGATTGTAGCAAGGAAGAACAGCTTTGAATCTGCAAGCATAAACAATCCAACCATTCAGCATCAGAAATTGTACAAGAACACCCAGGCATTCATAGGTAGTGATGAAAGCCCGCCCACCTCCCTCCTTGATCCAGCAGACTATGACAGCAATAAAGTTCCAGGAGAGGCAGAGCACAATTCCTGTAAATTATTAAAACAACACAAAACGGAAACTATCATGACCCTCTGAAATGAACCATATTTACAACCTATAATGCCATAATTGCATAATTCTACTGCCAAACTAGTGATACAAAAGAAATGCACAACCAGCAGTCAACAAATACGTACCAAGCCAGCTTGCGAACGCCAGATACTGTAGCTTCTGCACGTTGGCAGGTATCTCATTGGCGATGTCATGGTGGATAATCGGGAAAAAAGGCGGCCAATTCTTCTCCTCCATGGGCACTCCAGCTGCATCAAAGAAAGAAAAGGAAAGCAGAAATAAGCACACTACTGGTAACACAACTCATAACTGAAACACAATTGACACCAGCAACGAGATAGTGGGCTAGTGGCTCACCATTCTTCAGTGATTCCTCCCTCCTTTTGATATCCTGGAGCCACAGAACAAACGCCGTGAGACACCACACAACCTAATCAACTAAAGTTTAATAAGGGCAAAGAGGAGAGTAAACCCCACCGCCTCACGGCGCCTCAGATCTGATTCCCACGACGAGAGCTCCCTCGCCTTGCCATTCGAGTCCTGCGCGGCGCACCAGAACCATCAGATTCGTACAGCCGAACGCCGAGTGAACGAAAACTAAAAAGGATAAGTAGCGCGTGAAGCGACTTACGCCCATGTTGCCGAGCGGCACGTCGACGGTGGCGTCGCCCCTGCTGCCGCCGCCGCCGAAGCCGACGGGCTCGGTGGGCCGGAAGCCGTGCTGCTGCTTCCCGCCACGGCCTCCTCCATTCTGCAGCGCGACAGAAACAGCACGCGGGAGTTCAGATCTGCCGAACCACTACCCCGCCGTAGGCAGCGAGGGTTTTTCCGCAAAACGAGGGGGCGATAGATGAGCGGATAGAGGGGAGAGGGGAGGCTGGCTCACCGAGAAGGGGTTCTCGTCGCCGGCGGTGCCCTCGTCGAAGGGGTTGGGGTCGTGATGCATGCCGGGCTCGCCGCTGGGTCGCTCGGCGTCGCCGCGCGGTGAGGGGGAGACGGGGAAAGCGGCGGTGGTGGACGCGGGTCGCTTCCAGTCCAAGCAGTCCGTTCCCTTTTTGGTGCTGCTTTTCACGTGACCTCTCTGGGTGGAGTGCGACGCGACTGGCCTGGCGTGGGTTCGGGCCGATGCGCACACACGGGTCGTCGTCGTCGTCGCAGCTGCGCACCACCTGCAAGTAAGCCCATTCTAAGCCCCCTGGTTTTTTTTGAGTGCTTTCTAAGCCCCCTGGTTTTTTTTTTCTAAGCCCCCTGGTGATCAGTCCGTTTAGAGAATTGGCCCGTAAATCCTGTTATAGAGATCGGCCGGCCCACGCGCGAGGCAGGACACGGCCTCTTTTTTTTGTTTTTTTGTTTTCTGTTCACATTTTTTGCTTTATTTTTGTACTTTTTTATACTTTAAATTTATATATATATATATATATCTGTGTGTGTATGTATATATTACAAAAACACTCTATAAAACACATTTTAAAAATGTTAAACAAGTATTTAAAAATGTTGCACGAGTATTTGAAAAATGTTGAACAAGTTCTTGAAAATGTTGAATCTTTTCTTTACCTAATAATAAAACATCTATTGCTTCTGCCTGCTCACCGTCGTGGCGTTTTTGCATAAACCCCTGTTTTGTAGTAATTGAACTCGCAATCCTTTTTTAAGTGGGTAACCAAGAAAACGTTTTGGTTTTACAAATAGGACCCTATGTTTTCATCTATTCAACCCGTGGTCTACAGAACGACGGTGGCGATTGAAGCTTGCAGCGAACGGATCCGTGCGCGGCAGGGGCTGGGGAGGATTCGGAGGCGGGCGGTGAGGACGGGGGGACGACGAGGAAGGCCGGCCGGAGGCGGCTTCCCGGGCGAATTCATGGCATCCGGGGCTCCTGTCAGAAAGGAGACAAGGAGATGGGGGAGGATAATAAAACTAGGAAAAGGAGGGGCGACGCAACGAGAGGAGGTCGGACGAGGCGGCGGCTTGCTGTAGCAGATGGCAGCAGGGGGTGCGGCAGCGCGGTGTAGGATGCAGCCACGGCGGTGCTATCCACGAGCGTCATGGGAATGGAGGCAAGCGGCTCGGACATGGTGGGCGATGCAACATGAGAGGAGGAGCACAAAGGTGAGCGCAAGGAAGAGCGAGGCCGAGGGCGGTGCAGCCTCGCCGGGGTCGGGCCGTGACCGCGGGTGTCGGGGATCGGGCGTGGCGCATGGGGCGCCTCCCTGACGACGCGAGGTGGGAGAGAGCGAGGGGATCGGTCCATTTTTTGTGAGGCAGGGGATCGGTCTGGTAGCTAGGTTAAGGGCTAGGCCGTAGGCCAAATGGGCCAGGCGGTTTAGTTGCTGCTCTCTCTCTCTCTCTCCCCCTCTCCCTCTCTCTCCTAACTCTCTTATCTTTTTTCTGGATCACTCAAAACAAAATCCTATATTTTTCTATTTATTAATATAAATAGAGAATCATTAAAAAAGAGGGTTAGGAATGATCTATCAGGAAGGTACTATTTTCCTGGACTTGAAAAAATGCGCTTGTTCCAAGAAAATTAGAAATGGGCAATGCAAGGTTTAAATTCAAACTCATTTGATTTTTTTTGGAGGTTGGTAAATTGATAAAAGAATTAATGGTAAAGTTTGGGGACCAAAATTGAAGTAAAAAAAGGCATGGTATTTCTCTAAAGGCTCAAAAAGGAATTTGGAAAAGCAATTGTATAAAATAGAAGTAAGGCCCAAATGATTTTCTGAAAATGTTCATAGTTTTTAATTTGGTGTGAGTATTTAATGGCATGATGGAATGCAAATGCCAAAAATAATATAAGATAATCATTATAAAATATGCAAGTTAGATGAAGGTGTGGAATTTATCGGCTAAAAGATCAAAAATAATACAAGGGTTGAACCATAGGCAGGCGACATGTCGTGCTACCACGGAGAAGCCCGTCTCTGGCACCCGTCACCGACTCATGAGGAGGACACAAAGTCTGGCATAAAGTAGGGCATTGTCCTCGGTGCTCCTCCAATAATGTTGGATCCGCATGTCCTAGAATCTCACCACTCGACTTAGTCAAGGCCGAGATTCACGTTGCTTGAATGAAGTATGATTTTCGTAACCATGCACGGTTCTATCTAGTCTGGTTTCACAATTTTAGGTCATGGAACAAACCATGTTGGGATGGATAAATGTGAGGTGTATGATTCATCAATATAGGTCAAGCAGGGTCTATCAATCGCTTGAGATCTCTACCATGTCTACGCAAGCCTTATGTGATTTGTTCTCCCATTGCAATGCATGGACGTATTCTCCTAATACATTTGTATTCGTCCGTCGTGGAATTGCCCCTAGAGTTCGCATGAATTACCCCCTATGCCACCGGTAAGTGGAACAAATGATTCGTTTTTTTTCTTTATAAGTCAGCCATTGGTTTTGATTCAATAGGCAGCAATCCCCCAACGAATCACAAGTGCATAGCCACCCCGACTGGTTGGACGCTTGCTCTTCCACTTAGGAGACCCAGATTTGATCCCACAT